GGCTCCTGTATCTATCTATTGTCATATTGCATGCAGGGAACTCCATTAATATGTCCTATTACAAAAAGTCCATTACTGTCGCCTCTCACTGCAGAAATCTGAAGCGCTTTAAACTGGGGCTTTTCATTATCTGGCAACCTCCGCCCCACGAGATGGCCACTAATTAGTTTCCCTGCTGCTTGCTAGGAGCGGTCTTAACATCCGTGCCCTGGGGTGTTCTGAAGTTTCGTCGTATGTGTCCTTCAGCACCGCAGTTCCAGCACTTAACGGTCGGTTTCTTATCACCAATATTCCGTCTCAAGGCGTTGAGTTGTCTAGTTAAATCGTCTAGACGAGCAGTGACTTGATTCTCTGGCTGCTGGACTTGAGCAGCTCTCACGGGGTGGCGGTCTCGACGAGTGGCTTGCTGGGCTGCCTCGAATTTCATGGCGTACACTAAAGCACTTTTCAAATCTTTAACATCCGCCATTCGTAGAGCCTTCTGTATTTCGGGATCCCGGATGCCATCGATAAAGTACTGCAGGGACAGGATTTCCCTCGTTTCTCTCGGGCACTCCGTAAAGGCGAGGTGGGACAGCTTTTCAACATCTGTGGCGAGTTCCTGGAGTGATTCGGTGGGCTTCTGTTGACGGGATTTTAATTGAAGCCTGCTGCAGTCTTTTAAACATTTCTCGCCAAAGCGCAGTTCCAATGCGCCGGATAAAGCTTCGAAGTCAAGTCTTTGGTTTTCTGGAAGCGTCTGCAGGATATCCGCTGCGTCTGCTCTCAGAGAAGCGGCGAGATGGCAGGCCTTAGTTTGGGAATCCCATCCATTCGCATCCTAAACGATAGAAAATTGTGTTTTATACACTTGCCAGGATGTATTCCCATCATATGTGGATATCTTCAGAGATGGACGAGCAGGCATCGGTAAGAATTTAAAACCCTCATTGCTTCTTTCGTTCGCTATGCTCTTCTTTAAAGTGTCAACTTCTTTCGCAACGGCTGAAACCCTATCATCAATTTGTTGCTCGATTTGGTGTTGGACGGCAAAACTCTTCTTCTATATGGTCTTCTTTTACAGAAGGAAACTCTTTCTTCTATTTCTTCTTTCACCGGAAGAAACTCTTTCTTCAATTTCCCAACTTATTTTCAACCGAATCTATTCTGCCTTCCATAGCCTCGAATTTGTTTTCATTACCAGGCAATTTCTTTTCATTTCCTTGACTCTTTCATCTATCTCTAACAATTTCGTCTCGTCTTTGGTTCATTCCTCTTTGCAATTTTCTCTTTTCATTTCGTATTGACTCCTGCTTCAATCTTTACCTTGTACGGATTATATCTTCCTTAAACGGATTTTTGACCAGCTTGAATCCATTTTCTTAATTTCTTCTTTAAAAGATTTTGATTAGATTTCCATCTTCTTTCAACGAGGTAAAGGCTGAGATCAACTGCCTTAATTGCTCTTCCATCGCTCTTGTTATTGGCATTCAAATCCCACTTCTGACACCAAAAATTGTTGCGTGCGTACGAGTTCGTTATGAAATGAATGCACAAGTCCGATGAAAAATGAACAAAAATTTATTATTATCACAACAAAAATGCTTACATTTTCTCAAATTATCATGCAGTATTACAATATCTCACAGTAGTTATCTTTTAACTACTCAAATGTCCAATAGAACGTAATTCAAAACAGCTAAAGAACGCTAATCCGCGAATTCGCTACAATCAACAAGAGCAGTTTTCTAAACAACAACAAACTAAGAATTACACGACTTTTATTATTTATTTCGATTCAGCAGGTACAAATTGAGTTGACTGTACAATTGTGCAGCCTATGAAGGCCATTCACGGTTTTTAGTACATTAAGTGCTACTGCATCGCCCGGGGGCGTGACATTAGAACAAGTGCAATCATTCCGTCGAAGTCAAGCTGAATATACGAAAATTGGGAAATTAGTACTTGGAAAACAAAATCATCCAGCATTCAAATCCATGCATGATGCATTCGGTCAGGATAGTAGCGTAATTTTACTGAGATAGGGTGCGCAGTCCAGCAGGTAATCAGGAGTAGAACCACAGCAGTGGGCGTGGTGAGATCACACAATACACAGTCCTTAACACATATTAATTAATTCAGTCTCTAGCCTGCTTCCAGGCAAATAGCCAATTTTGGCAATAATACAGTACTTGGTTAAATAAGGTTAGATAGAGCACAAAACACAACTTCATATGTACACTATTTACATATTTACATCACCACCGCGCATTATACCACGAACTGAGAGGTTTTCCTCCTTTTATAAGATTTGAGAATTTTCTGGTACTTTCTCGAAATCAAAAAACATATTTATTTATTTAATGTTAAATGCACGTGCTCTTGTATTTTCAATTTTTCCGGCTTAGCTTTCTTTTAATATTCGTCACGCGCTGCACTGCGCGGGAAATAAAACCATTTAATATATAATTGAACTAACATTAGCTTTTTAAATACCAAATTCGTAACACTACATATGGATAAGTAGACACGCATACGTTATGTTTATAATGAAGTGACCTAGGTATTATGAAGTCACCTCATTAAATACATATTACAGTTACACCAATAAATTAAATATATACATATTCCTGGGTAAGTAGATACAGTGGTGCACAGTGCGCACTGACACGCGTTACGCGTATTATATTTATCAGTGACTTCGACAGAAAGTGTTAGGATTTCTGAGAAGCTCTCGTTTGCCACCGGGCTACGTCTCTTTAAGCTATTATTACGCTCGGCCGTATTACTTGCCTTTTGATAGCTCGCTGGCTAATTTAGGATTACGCCCCAACTACTATTGAATTGTGTTAGCTTCGGCTAAATCTCTTTAGTCAGTCATTAGTTAACTCTTATTTCTTACATTTTGAGTTCAAGCCCAACTAGAGGCTTTGCTGTACGCCCTGAGAAAGGGGTGGACTGTTAATCTTAATTTGAGTGAATAAAGGGTAATTAACTCAACCCTTCTTGAGTTTACCATTTCTGTTCTTTGGACCTAAGCGATTTTTTGCTTAGCAGTTCACTAGGTTCCTCCACACTTAATTTGATAAAATAAAAGTGAAAAATTCTATAAACTCCAAAAGAAAGGAGAATTTTTGTTTCTTATTAGTTCAAAGGGGCTTTGTTCCTGAAGGACTATTGTTTTCGCTTGGCAATTTTGCGTTGGTTCACTATAAATGTCCATTTCACTTTTCAAACTGTTGCCACCAAATGCTAACAAACATAACCAATTATAATGTACCTGTCATTATAGTTGAAGAAATTAAAAAATGAAAAATCTGCATAATGTATATTTCTTGCATGATAAAACAACGGTACACAGATCCATCGAATTTTGAATGACGTAATCCTACTGCGAATATGAGCATGTGGAAGCCCAAATTTGAAATTTGGAATTTGTTTTATTATCGATTTCATATTTTGTAAAACTTTAACGAGTTTTTGATTAACAAACTCAAGGATTTCAAAGCGAGCAATGGCAATATTGTATAGAAAAACATTTTTATCTCCAGCGCGCGAGACTGTGTATCGTAAATTCCAAAGATTGGCTCAATTTAAAATTATTTTGCGAGAACAAGATATTTAATAAATAAAAGTAATAGACAAAATGTTAAAAAAAACGCCCCTTTGGACGTAATTTAAATTCTGAAACATTTCAGATATTTATTTATTTATTTATTTTTTAAGTGCTTTCTCTCCATCGGTTGACAGCATTTTTGTGAACAAAAGAAAAGTTCTCCAAAAATTAAAATTTTATACACTACATAACCGTTTTAAGGAGATGGAAAATATGGAGGCCATGGAGATTTGAAAAAAAAAATGGTATGTCATTTCAGAAAAAGTCAGATTTTATGTCAAAATACCTATGTTAGAACATTGCTATATATAAATCTAATATATATCCTAAGTCGTGCTTTCGAGACATGAAAAACGCAATTTGAATTTTGTCAATCGGTCCAGTAGAACGGGAGATATAGAACTGCCCCCTTTCCCCCCCCCCGCAGCGTACTAGAAGGCAAAATTCTTCCGGCATCAGCAGGAAAGGCAAAGTTACCTTCTTTGCTTAAAAGGTTTCTGCACTGTAGTTTTCTCATGATTTCGAACTACTCATGTTATAACAAACTCATACATTTTTATGAACTCCCAACGAGGAATCTGGCTGTGTAGAGTTTGGGCACTATTTTGGGGACACCTCGTATAATAAAGAAAAGTATTAAAGGGTCAATGCAAGATAAAGTTAGGGAATCTCTGAACTAATCATTCGTACGGTTCTGAGCGATTTCCTTAACTTTATATAACGATGCTTGCTATTTAACTCTGTATAATTCTATAGAGTAGGCGAGACCGTCATGGAATGTAGCATACAAGAAGGATATCTAAATAAAATTCAAAATGTGAGTAAAACTCAGATAAAATGCCACACATTTGCTAAGGAGTAATTTTTTTTTTTTTTTTAATCATTTAAATACGTTATGTTTTCAATTTTGTCTCAGTTAAAATATATCGTTTCCAGCTTTTAGCTTGTAACGTATTTGCGTTGCTACGCTACCAATATAATTCCACTAAGAAAGGTAAAGAAAACTTACGCATAAAATATCCGTGCTTGAGGATGCACGTGCTTAAAAACTTTTTTTCAATTGTGTTCTGCCAGTTTGACTAATAAAGTTGATCGTTCGACCAAAAATGGAGAGTTTTTTTAAAACTTCATTATAAGATCAACAGAACGTTATATTTTCAGTTAATTAATCAACAAAAATACTTAAAAGATTTGAATAAAAATTTCAACACACCGAAATATATGGTAAAAAAAATAATGCGGACAAAATAAATCTGATCAATTAATTTATACGTAAAATACTCATGCATAACGTAAAATACTCAAAGAGTGCACTATTAAGAATGTTAATAATTACATAAAGAAATTGTTCCCTTATAACCTTATTTCTTATTATTTTTCTTCAATGAAGTTGGTTTCAGCAATAAAACAATATTTCAACAACCAAAATTTCTTATTTGACAGATCAACTATTATTTAAACGAAGAAAAGCACTGGGCATTGGAAGTGGAAGAGTTACGAAGAGCCATCAATTTATCTAAGCCATATTGTGAACCTAAAGTTTTAGTGATCATTAATCCGGGTAATCCAGGGGGTAAGCATATATTTTTATTGCTATTTTAACTTTCATTGATTGCATATTTGTGATTCATTGATTTCATTTTTAGTTGCGGAGTCATTCATTTTTAATTATGAGTCATTTTTAGTCATTAGTTTTCAGACTTTTTATGAAATTCTGTATCCTCTTTTAATAGCTTTCGATCAAGAAATCACATATAATCCACTTGGCAGTGTGGATATCCGGGGCCGCCGCGTGGGGGTGGCAAAATTATTCACCGCACAAGAGCGCCTGGGCCAGGGGGACCGCCAAAATTTATTCTTATCACAAGAATTAAAACACAATGCTGGATTTTTCCTCTTAGATATGCGTACAATATCACAATATCATACAATATCACGTAGTAGTTACATTTTAAACTACTAAAACATCAAATAAAATGCAATCCAAAGCCCAGAGAAAGTTAATTCGATCTCACTGAAAATTCGCTACAGTCAACAAAATAGTTATGTAATTAACTGAACTGAGATATTTCTCTCCGGCGTTTTAAAACTTTTTAATCGTGCACCAGAAGGTTCTGGTAATTTCCGTTTTTTCGAGATTTCTGGAAAGCAAAAGAGTAGAATTACGGTCACAGCTAACACAGTAGTCAATTACATTTATTCATTTTAAATATAAATTACCAGATATCTATTTATTAAATGCGCGTGCTCCAGTCTTTTTACTTTTTCGGCATAGCTTCTCTTAAAACTTGCAACGCGCTGCATTACATGGGGAAATAAAACGATTTTAATTACAATTCTAGTAAAAAATTGCTAACTAAATAGAAAATCTGAAACAATATATTCGTTATTTTCTCCAGATCTAGGTGTCATATATTATTGTGTTGTCTTATTCATCTGTATTACAGCTGTTATGTATTGGTGAGGTATTTCCTTACTTCTGCAAGCCTCATAAACTATCTGGTGGAACAAGTGAGGTTTTGAATTTCTTTTCTTAAATGACAATAATAACAATAAACTAATAATGGTAATCAAAAGGTAAAAGTAGTCGTGTCAGCAGAAGTGTGTCCAAGAGCAGGCAGATAAACCGCGAGCTCAGCAGCAACAGAAAAATAACCTTAACAAATTCTCTGATGCGAAGAATCTAAATCCTTTCAGACATTTTCTTTTTCCTTTTTCTAATAGTATGTTCTTGTTTTGAGTGCTGTGTTATTTTACATAGCCAGATAAACTTGTCTACACATTAAATTGCTTCAAAATATAGTTAAAATATTAATTGTCAGTTTTTATTTATTACGACACATTTTATTCTCCTTTCCTGCAATTTTAACTGCAATCGCGATAACCGTCAATGAACTAAACTGCGAGTGTGTTTCGGTAAATCTTCAACTGCTGTAGCTTCAATTGCTTATATTAGCAGTCATGATACAGATGTCAAACCTTTTGCTTCGAAAACAGTAGTCAACCATTATGTTGTTCGAAGGCAAAAATATTTCACACACGTGACATCAGTTGCCACCAGAAAAATATTCTCTCACAAATTTCAAGTTAAAAAGTATTGAATATAATAAAAATAACCTTAAGAACACTCTTCTCCTCTTGTCCAAAGGCAGATGCTATATTTATCATTTCAATGTTACAATATTATTTTTACAACTACAACATTATTATTTACAATTATGGAATGGTGGGCCGCGAACGGCACGTGACAAAATTGCTGGTCTCAAATGGCACCTGGCTGGTCTAGCAAAATTATTTCTGCCCACGAATATATGTTTCGTCCTCCTGCACCTCCTCCTGCTGCACCTCCTCTTGCTGCTCCTCTTGCTCAAGAGGAGGAGCAGTAAGAGGAGGAGCAGGTAGAGGTGGAGCAGGTAGAGGTGGAGCAGGAGGAGCATCAGGAGGAGGAGCAGGAGCAGCAAAAGACAGCAATAGGAGGAGTAGCTAGTCTATATATAAGTAAAATACAGATTTCCGAAAACTATACATCCGACTGACTTGAAATTTTGTATAGTTACTCATTCCACGATGTAGTCGCGCACTAAGAACTTATTTTACGTAAATCCTGTCTAAAATGGATTTTTGTTTTTTCTCATATATTTGGTTTTCAAATGCAATTCAGAATTAATTATTAAATTTGTAAATATCTTGCATCTATCCAATGAATACAAACAACATTTAAATGATAAGGTGACATTAATATTTAACTGTTAAATAATGAATAAATATATAAATATAAATGTTTTATAATAACATTTATATTTAACTGTTAGCATAAGTTTCATGAAACTAAATGCTGTTATTAAGAGAAATAAATTACTGTGATGAAAAATAAAAATGTTTTATTTATAAAAATTGCCATAAATAAAAAAATCAAAGACAAATATTTATAATTGATTAAAAAATTGATAACAAAGATAATAGCATTTATTTTCACGAAACGTATAACAGTTAAATATATATAAACCTTAGTTTTATGTTGGTAAGGTTTCGTGGTGTAGGTTCGTGATCCGATCACATTAAATAATGAAGACACATCCCAATACACAGTACCTCATGGGTGATACGATGTGGTGTCTATGACAGATTTCTGCATCCCCCGGCTGGCACTATATTTCTCGACTTTAAATTAAAAAAAATTACATTAATTATCCATTCGAAATTAGACATTTGTCGATATAAGAAGTCTAGGTTCACATTCAAATAGATAGTATGCCCAGCAATGAAAATTAATTTCGAGGACGGATGACGTAGATCAGTGGTCTTCAAACCTTGTCAGCTCATAAAATCCTTAAAAATATAATGTTTCTTACAAAAAAGTCCATTCCAACCTTAGAAAAATGTATCTTAAAATAGTATTTAAAGTAGATCAAGATGTTATAGGAACTTCACGTTAAAGAATTTTTTTTTAATTATTCTAATTTTAAGTAACATAAAATTAATATAATTAATCCTATTGATGATAGGATTAATTTTTTCTTCAGATTTCACCTACCCTTGCCTTATATTTAATAACAGGAGTGGGGTTGCATTTTTATTCACACAAACTGGTGAAATCTAGCTCTGTTGATGTTATCTGCAATCGCATTTCATATTCTGCACTTAATTTGTTTCCACGTTTTCTTTTTGTTGCTACGTTGGTTGAGAAAGATTTTTCACTTAAATACGTTGTTCTGAATGGAATTAAAATGTGTATATCTGTGTGAGAAACTTCCAGATATTCTACAGGAAGTATATTTAGCAACAGGAGTGTGGTTGCATTTTTATTCACACAAACTGGCGAAATCTAGCTCTGTTGATGTTATTTGCAATCGCATTTCATATTCTGCATTTAATTTGTTTCCACGTTTTGTTTTTGTTGCTACGTACGTTTAAAAAGATTTTTCACTTAAATACGTTGTTCTTAATGGAATTAAAAGGTGTATATCTGTGTGAGAAACTTCCAGATATTCTACTGGAAACTACAACTAAAAATTCCGCTATTATTGCAATTATTGCTCAAATATAGATTTTTAACGTCGAATCTATTGATATGTAGATACGTTTTCCTTTTTCTCCACCAGTAAGCCAGGATTTATAGTATTACTCGAAGGGACTTTTTTGTCCAGTCCTGTTCAGCTTATCCTTTGAACCCTCATACCCTTATATTCTCCTATCTTCGCATCTCTGTTCAATATTTTTCGTAAAAATAGGCATAATTTGAAAGTTCTTTTAATTTTGCACATAAGTGCATATAGGATGAAAAACTTTCAGGAGAGATGCAGTACACCTAGACGATAGGAAATCACATAGAAATGCATGGTTGGAAACGCTTTCCTGACGCGGTAGTGACGACAGACAGTGAGAAACAGTGAGACAAAACAGGTTTTATTGTGCCTAGTACGGCAGAAACCTACAAATAAGAACAAAAACAAACAACGATCGTCATTAAAGAAGGTGTTCGAAGTTACGATCCCGAACCGTAATGCACTTCTCTGACGCATGGAAGATCTACATCACGAATGCAAGGTCGCATGGAAGATCTGCATCACGAATGGAAGATGCATGACGCACGGTTCCTGCATCACGGTCCAGGTCATAATTTCCAACACCTTCTTTGTTGATCGTTACCTCTCTATGTTTTTGTTTGTTTCTTTCTTTGTTTTTGTTGCACTCCGAATAATAAACATGTTTTCTCACCCCGTTCGAGTCCTTTCTTTCTTGACTTTTGTGTTGCCACTACCACACCAGGAAAGCGTTTCCAACCATGCATTGCTATGTAATTTTCTTATCGCCAAAACATCCTGTATATATATAGAGAGAGGGAGTATATAATGATGAAAATTTAAAATTGGTCTGTTTGAACAAAAGACAACTGAAGCTTATGATTTTTCTGGTGATTATTTTTCTGAACAAATACTCATACGTAGTCATGGATCTATTTTATCTTTTGCATAATTTATTGAATAAAACATAATAAAGCCATACACAAACGTAGAAATGGTGCCATAATTATATAATTACAATTAATGCCTTACGTGCAGTAGTCCATAATTACAAGTTTACGTTTCACGTAGTTGAAGACAGAAAAAAAAAGGGGGGAAAGGCAGTAGATGACACTTATCTAGAAACAGAAGCAAGCATGAGAAAAGTGAAGATTACGATAATGATGTTAAATTAAGAATGGTGTAGCTAGTTAATTTCTAAGGTCATAATATCTCTGTTATTAATACTAATTTAGAATTTAGTTACAGTGTCAGTTTATTCCAAGTAAATGAAAGATTTTACTTCCTTATACGAAGTAAAGGAAATATTATAATCACGAAAAATTCCGGGTATGATATTTGAATGAAACATTGTAAACAATTAGAACAAAAATTAACGGAAATGCTTTATCATTGTTTTGTTTTTAAAATTTATGAAATAATAAAAAACAATAAGACAAACACGTGTTTTAATATTATAATTTTAAAGCTTTTCAGTTCGAAAATCAAATTTTGAATATTATTGAATTAACATTTTTATGTTAATGAAAAGGACATTGAGGGATTAAATTTGTTCGAATAAAATAAAATAATTAAGTAAAATCTTTGCGCTGTTTTACTAAAAAGGATATGTCACCTATTGATGTTTTAAATTATATTTATGTTAACAATCTTACCGATACATTTCCAAATATTGCAATAGCTTTACGGATTTCTTTCACCCTGCGAGTTTCGGTGGCTACTGGAGAACGAAGTTTTTCAAAACTTAAAATTATAAAACAAACTCCATGCGATCTACCATGGCGCAGGAGAAATTATCGTACTTGTCAATTATATCCATAGAGAGCGTAAATAAAAGGAATTGATACGTGCATTTGTAGCTGCTAAAGCTGTGGGAATCAATATTTGAATATATTTTCTAATTTTTATGTTTTACTTGAAAAATGCTTTATCATTATTTTGTTTTTAAAATTTATGAAATAATAAAAAACAATAAGACCAACGCTTGTTTTAATATTATAATTTTAAAGCTTTTCAGTTCGAAAGTCAAATTTTGAATTTTATGAAAGAGTATTTCACATATAATTTGCAGCACTTTACATGAGTGCAACAGAACCCCATAAAGGGGCGCCAAATTTCAATTTGAAAAAGGGCGCCTAATACCCACGCGGCGGCCCTGTGGCTATCGATTTTTGCGTACATTATGTTGTGTTCTTAAATGTACAGCGTGACCGAGAAAGAAGTGATGACAGCTTTCGTGGTTTTTCAGCGTGTAATGTGAATACAGAGTTAATTTCTTTTAGAAGAAATTCTATTCAAGACATTTTCTGTAGTGATGACAACCCTTCAGTGTTTTGCTTTAATAAATTACATTCTTGTAATCTGGCACTAAAACACATTGCTGCGTGCGTACGGGTTAGTAATAGTTTGAATGCACAAGTCCGATAAAAGGTGAATAAAATTTATTCTTATCAAAAGAAATATAATAAAATGCCGGACGTTTCCTCAAAGATATTCGTACAATATAACAATATCGCGCAATGTAATCAGTAGCTATACTTTAAACTACTAAAACGTTAAGTAGAACGCAATAAACAGCACAGAGAAATGTAATCCAGTCAACAATAATTACAGCAACTAAGTTAACAACTGAGCTGAGATGTTCTCTCTCTGGCTTTTTATAGCTTTTTAAATCGGCCGCGCTAGACAATTCTAGCAATTTCTGGGAAGCAAAAAGTGTAGAATTACGGTCACAGCTAACACAGCAGTCAACTACATATATCCAGTTTAAATATAAATTACGAGATATCTATTTATTAAATGCTCGTGCTCCTGTATTTTTACTTTTTCGGCGTAGCTTTCTTTTAAAACTCGTCACGCGCTGCATTGCACGAGTAAATAAAACAATTTGAATTACAATTATACTAAAAATAGCCAACTAAATACAAAATCCATAACAATATAATTATTTTTTCCGATATCTTCAACTATATGTATTTTATTCTCCTTTTTTTTTAAATAGTGAATAATACAGAAGTTAATCTGTTACGTGGGAAAAAAAAAAAAAAAAAGGTATAATGTATCTCGCTACGACATATACATCCTTTGTCAGAAAAGTTTCAGGACATTTTTTTTTTTAATTTCAAGGTTTGCAGTACTAAAAAGGAACAAATGGGTTTTTTTTTTTTTTTTTTTTTTTTTTTTTTTTTTTTTTTTGTTATCTGGTTACGTATTTTTACTTGACATGACCTTGGCCATGGTTCTACCAAACTTACTAGGTGGTAGGGCTGACTTAGCAACACAATGTTCGGATTGTTGACACATTCGTTAAGGTGACACAATGGATGCTGATTGTGAGTAAAGACTTAACATTAAGTTTTGCGTTAAGCTCGGGAAAACCGCTAGTGAAACGTGGAGAATTATTAAGCAAGCATATGCAGGCGAGGCACTTTCAAGAAGTCGTGTTTTCGAGTGATACAAAAGGTTTCGTGAAGGCACAGATTCTGTGCAAGACGATCCCTGAGCTAGTCGCCCGTCTATAACACATACCGATGCAAATGTAGGCAGTTATTGCAAGAAGACTGTCGTGTATCTGTGCATATGATGTCAGAAGAACTGAATTTCAATCGTGACATATGTCATAAAGTTTCACGCAAAAATTTAAGGAAACGGAAATTTAATGCAAGAATCGTCCCTCACTCACTAACAAATGAACAGAAAGAGGAAAGACGAAGAATTTTTCCTGAACTATTGCATAGAGCCAGACGTGTTCCCACATTTGCGTCAGAGATTATTGTGATTTTTTCTTCTTTCCATGAGTGAAAAGATGACTGAAAGGAAAGCTTGATCAAGATTATTGCAGACATCCAACGAGCTGTGACAAATGAGCTTGCAAGCATCGCAGTTGAAGATTTCCCCGCTTGCTTCCAAGACCTCCAAAAACGTTGGCGGTTGTACATGGATAGCCAAGTGGATTACTTTGATAGCAGCTACGGTAAATGCAATTTTCTATTTGTTAGGACTTTTGTCCTGTAACTTTTCTGACAAAGGATGTAGACAGCAAAGCGAAATACAAAGCTTAGCATCTTGTGGGAAAATTTTGGTGTTAAAAAACTTATTTCCAAAATAAACAGCAAGTAATGAATAAATCATCCGAGAATTAGCCCGAGTAAAAACAGTGAGAAATGTTTCTGGCAAGAATTTGAATATCCGTTTCCCAATCTTACACGTATATATTCAAGAAAAATTAAGTTCACCAGTCAATTTATATCATTGTACTACTTACAGGTTTTGTTTTATCGCAAAATGACATGCAGAATATCATCAAATTTGCTTACGAAGAAAACCTTCTCATATTGGCAGACGAAGTATGTTTCTTTGCTTTTCAAGACTGACAGCTTGAATGTTTTTATTTTATGAAAGAAGTTCATTTTAATTTTGATTTAAATATTTTAATTGTTTCCGAATTTTTCTGCAGGTATATCAGTACAATGTTTATGATCCAGACTCCAAGTTCTACGCTTTCAAGAAAGTCATGAAAGAAATGGGACTTCCATACAGTAATATGCAACTTGCATCTCTCATGTCTGCATCCAAAGGATACATGGCAGAGTAAGTTAGCATTTCTTTCCACAGATTCAAATTATATGAAGCACAATTTAATAAAAACTATATTTCGTTGTATTAATATTTAACCATTTTAAATTACTAATGCAGAAGTCAAACAACAAAAATCAGCGTTAATTTACAATTAATATACAATTATGGCGTTAATTGTAAATTAACGCTGATTTTTGTTTTTTGACTTCTGAATTAGTATTTATTCGGCGTGTTATTGTGTCTTAATCATTTTATATTACTTTCAACAGAGATTAAGAAGAATTTCGTATGTTAAAGTTATAAGGTATTTCTCCTACCTTCTTAGCGTCCCTTCGTGCTGTAATGGCCAGTAAACTTGGGTCCGAAGTTCGAATCCCGGCGAAGGCATTGCTCATTTTTCACGACTCCTGCTTTAAATTACCTAATGTCTTTACAGTGGCATCCGAACTAAGAAATGTGGCGGATGATGATTCTCCACCCCCAGGATTTGGTGCTTGGGTCCCTTAATCCCCAGTCGCCCTTTAAAAGGGCGAGTATATAACCCTTTCCGGCATGCTACCTTTTAAAGTTGGAATTTCGATAAAAAAAAAAAAATGGTAGGCAAATTAAAATTAGGCCTAAAGGAGTCCACAAGTAAAATTTTGTGAAGATAGCACTTATTGTTTTAATTTTGTTGGTTTGTTCGAAGCGGGCACACTGATTGAATAGAGCTTCGGAAAGAGTGCTGAAACGAGCATTGCTGAGAAGTAAGAGACTTTGCCTACAATTAAAAAAAGACTAGATTCTGAATACCGTAGCAGATTTAGCATTACCCAGGATGTGCCATGGGGAGACCTGCTACTCTACACTTCCCCTAAAAAGCTCTTTTTTTAGTTATATGATGATTACATGCATATGAGTGGGAAAAAAGTAACTTGGGTATATGATATTTACATTATTTAGAATTCCTATTTACACTTTAGTCTATTTTTTTCATGGTGGTACTTATCGAAGAAAGTGACACCACCTTTGAAAAAGCACAACCCAATATTGCATGTTTTGCACATGTACGAGATCCGTATTAGATTCACTATCTGAAAGCAATTCGTGTAGCACTTTCAGTGTTTCAGAAATGGTCAGTCCTCTCCGATCCGTTTAGAAAATAATTAAAATTTCGAAAAAAAACTAATATTAAATCTACAATAAGAAATTATAAACTATAAAATAAAATTAAATAAACTTCTACAACTCAAAACTATTAAACGTAGCGCTGGCAAAACATTGAATCAAAGCGAAAGAGAACTGCTCTAGTGAAAAACCCATGGAGGTAAGAAAGGAAGGAGTGGCCAAACCGGTACTAGATGTGAAGCACAGCTTCAAAGCTTCGGTCACCAGATGAGGTTTTTTTTTTTTTTTTTTACATTCAGAAGCTCGCTTGACAGCGCTCTGATAGTATTTCGACACACGACAGTTCTATACAAATAGAGAAACGGGACACTTCCGCACAAAAGAAACATTCCTAGTATGATGGATAATAGCAATTTGTATAGTTTAGTGACATTTGCGCAAAATCACATCTTGGTTATTTTTCGATAACTAACAACAGCGATTTTGATTATGAATTTGTTTTATAAAATTCTAAGCTGTTGAACTACAAAAGTATAGATTTTAGGAAAAACGTTATGCTTAAAGAATGAAAAATACTTCACCGTACCTTTAAAATTGTATACATTTTTCGATATCCTTAATACAGTATTCGCTACTTTTATTTTATATTCCAAGCACCAAAATGTTTTAAATAAAATAAATTTTTTTTCACATCCACATACTATTGTAACATGTACTTTTTTAAAATTAGTGTAAATTTCTTTACTCGAAAAATATAGTAAATGCACAGAAATTAAAGATTTCCACATGCCAGAAGTGAAAAATATGAAATATGTATGGATATTTATGTATGTGCTTCCAAAAAGCATGTATCTGCCTTTAACAACAAAGTACATAAATATTTATTTAATTATTTATAAATGTATTTGAAATGAAGGATTTATTCATTTATAAATAACTGTGAAAGTTACTGTGAAGAAATCTAGTTCTTAAATGCATCTAAATTTATAATGATTATAAATATTATCTAAATATATAATAACCTTAACATTGAATTGTAAACATAAATTGACATCCTGTTGACAAATACGTTATAAAACTATTTAAGCAAGAATTGTTCGTACTGAAAGCAATCTGTTAAAAGGTATTGTAAAGCAATTTCTATGAGATGCGTATTTAAGAAAGTAATAAAGAAGAGTTTTGGAATACGTATTGTTGAAATTAAGAGTAAAAAAATCTAGTATAATTAAAAGAATTATTCCCCTTATCAGTCATATATTCCCCTTATATAAATCAGTTACAAGTTTTAAATAATATTTAAAAAATAATCCTTATTTTATATCCTTTCAGAAATATTCAGAGAAAGTTAAGTACTATTTAAAGTACTTCACTATTAAATTAAAAGGTGCTCTAATTTTAAATGGACCGAATAGAGCATTAATTATAAATTGACTTATAGTTTTCCATTTAAAAGATGCCTCAGAAGCTAAAAATTCCTGTCATATTTGAGAAAGTATTTTAGGAATAAGCTCTATAAATAGAAAAGAAATAATGCACAAATTTCTGTGCATACAGAAGGAAATTTTTAGGTGTGCCCAGACCGGGTACACCGTGCTGCAAAGGGATAAGGTATTTCTCCCGCCTTCTTAGCATGCCTTCATGGTGTAGTGGTCAGCACACTCGTTTGTATTCGCGAGGTCCGAGGTTCGAGCCCGGCGAGGGCATTGTTCATTTTTCAAGTCTCTCAGCATCAAAAATACTAATGTCTCTACAAAGTGAGCTACTCATAATCCGAATGATTCAGAATCAACATCTGTAAAACATGTGTCTAAGTTTGGCTTATAAAAAACAAATATTAAGGAAGGGTCAGACCGAGATGCGAAAATTGTACGTCTCAGCGTAGTTCTGTGTTAAGAAACAGAAACTGTAAAGCTATAATAAAAGTTAGTAGGAAAACTGTAGAAAAAAAGTGACAACGAACAAAAATATCAGACACTACCTAAAACTGTTTCTCTTCTGCAAACTGCAAAGTAAATAAATAAGAAAAATCAGAAAGGGTACATGTTTTAACGGTCGCCCACAGAAGGGCTTTTTTATATGCTCTCGATGAGCTCGCTGTCTACCAGTCTAGCTGCTGTACTCACACATTCATTTTTGTCTTTTTAGCTTAATTTTAGGCATAATTCATTTCACACTTACGGTATAGACGGTTCAACGGTAAAAAAAAAAAAAAAAAAAAGTAGTATAGCAGCATATATTTGCAATTCCCGATGCAGTAATACGTAATAAGTATTGGCATAATATTTTTCTACTTTTTTTAAGTCTTTTCTTAGTTCATGGTATCAATGTTCAGTTTTCTTAGTAAGAAGGCTTATAGAATACTTTTTTCGTCGTTTTTTTTATTAACATTTTGTAGGTTTATTTATTAAATATCAAGGCCTTCGCACTTACGCCGCATAAAATTTAATTCGGCAGCAAAATTCCAAAATATTTAAAAGCAGCATATCTTTAGAATTTCTGGTAGACGGTCGTGCGCGCTGGAGATAATTTTTTTTTTTTTTTTTTTTTTTTTCCCTGTACAGTATTGCCCCTGCCCGCTTCGAGTTTTTAACTCAAAATCGTCGAATTTTTAACTCGAAAATTCATTTATGTTTCACAAAGGATGAAATAAACAATAAAAAATGTGACGTCATCCTATGAAAATACTTTTGAATAATTCTAATTAGATAGATCAGGAATTAAATGCATTTTTACTAATTAAATTAATTCGATTCAGAAGTAGGAAACGAATATTCTTAGGAACTGCAACTGCCAAACTGAACTTTAACTAAACTTATTGCTTGAGTAATTTATCATGTCTTTCTCAAGATGATTTGCTTAAATTAGACGAAATTATACTCGTCAGAACACTCTCAACAAGCTACCAGAACGCAACAAACTTTACTTCCCTCAGCAGATTCCCCCTTTTTTTTTAATCTCAATTGGAAATTTTAGGTCCCTCGAATTCCTTCAGGTATCCGGGCGGCCTCTTGCAAGAGGCTTTTCCTCAATCGAACAGAACTGTGTTTTCAGAGGTTAAAAAAAATCACATAGTGCTCAAGTTAAACACGCCGAATAATGGTTATTGAAGAAATCAAACAACAAGAATCAGCGTAATATTTTTAAATTTTGCAGGACTAGTTTCGATGGTTTAACTTCAGACCGTCCTTTTTCAGCTGCGTAAGTGCAAATGATCGAGATAAGATAGGGTAATAAGATAATAATGGTTGGACAGAAGTTAAGTTACTACCGCCATCTATTGATGAAACAAGAAAACTAAAACATCATTTTATTAAAGGCTGTAAGTAAAGATGGATTGGAATTAGGCTCGTTAACAAGAACAAAAAGATTTTTTGAATGTGAAACGCCTCTAGAAAAATTTAATTCACCAATGGAAGATGTTTTTTGAATAATTTTGCCTGCAGAAAAATGGAAAGTATGATTTTCGGGCCAATAGTGGTGAGCAACAGAGGATTTCTGTGTTTTTTCCTTAACATATGCCTCCTGTTCTTTAATGCGAAATTTTAAGGCTCTCTTAGTTTGACTAATGTAAATTAAACCACATTAGCAAGGAATCCCGTAAACACCCCAGGAATTCATACCTAGAAAGGGGTCCTTAGTATGGAACTGGGAAATTTATTGATAGGAGAAAAAAACGACCCAAAAGTTAAATTTCTGTAAAATACGTGGAATTTTATAGCTAATCGGCGGAAAGAAAGGAACGACAACATCATTCTTATAATTTCCTAAAACAATAGTGTGCCTTTGATGTGTTGAGATGAGAATTTTTTAACTGCTTGGTTAACAATGTTGGGTGAAAAGTCTCTGTCACTAGCAACTGCTTTTAAATCATTTATTTCTTGATCAAGAGCTAGTTTGGATGAGCA